GGGGGTTGTAAAGGGGTCATAGATATGTGGCGGGGGGGATAGTAGTTGTGTACAGCTATTTCATGCTTTTTCTTGTAATTAGACAAGTGGATTATAATGGGGAATATTACACTGTAATGTTCCCTATTATAATCTATTTCTCTGATTAAATGATTACAGGTAGGCATGTGATCTATCAAAGTTTGAGACTACGTTAGAATGTGTGACCAGTGACATGGTCACACATTTTAACGTAATCTCGCCCAGTTTTTCGGTGGTGGAATAGGTGAAGAATTCCAACGCTTTCATTTTTTGGTGTAACTATTTTATTTTGAAGGCATGTTTAAATACAATTAAATTAAAATTCTTAAATCAAAACAATCTAAAATATAAATAATCAACGTCCCCCACTCAGCGGGCCGCGGTAAAATTATCAAACGTTGACCGGTCCGCGGCGATAAAAAGGTTGGGGAGCACTGGCCTAGGGAATGGAGGGAGGGGCAGGCTGTACAATGCATCAGATAGAGCTCTGCAGCATTTCTGGAAAAATTACAGGTGGCAGCAGGCTTTCTTTTAGCCGTTTTGGTAAATAAGGCCCAGAATGATTTTCAACAGGGTGAAAAATGTGGGTGAACTTCAAGTAAAACAGAAATTTTATTTCCTGTTTTTTTTTAAAGTAGAAAATAACAAAATGTTTCTTTTAATCAGCGCATTGGATCTTCATGGAAAGTTTGAGACTGCTGCCTGGCTAGAGAAAGTTATAATCATTGGAGCAGCAAAGCCCAACACCATCAGCCTTCGTTTGCCAGGTAAGAAGCACATTTATAGGGATTTATTTTCTTGTTTCTCATTATTTTTTATTCTGGTGATCTCATTTTTGTGTGTACATAGGACGATCAGTTCAAACACTCACCTCAAAGCCACCTTGTCGGTGAGAGTAGAGCTATAATTATCTTGAATGGGTTCAAATGGCAGTTTCTGAAGTGCATAGAGAACCAGATTCAGACCCCCACGGAGTCTCTTTGAAGCAGCAGGACACCTCTGTACATTAACTAAAAATGTCCACAATCTATTAAATCGGCACATCAGTTAGTCTGTGGCCTTTGAATGTGAGAGCAGTATTATATGTAACGTATTTAATAGTTTGTATCATTTGTGGTTACCTGTTCTAGAGAGTTCGGTTTTAAAATGTTCTAGAGAGTTCGGTTTTAAAATGTTGCATTGGATTCATAATAAGTAATTAGTTTTTATCGCCTGAGTGCTTATCTCCACTTGTATATCTGTAGAAAATAAGTCAAGGCAACTGGACTTGCTGTATTTTTCGTGAAGACGTTTCACTGGTCATCCAACCAGCTTTCTCAATTCGGAATGGAATTGGATTTGGAGTTGGATGAAAGCTGGTTGGATGACCAGTGAAACGTCTTCAAGAAAGTCCAGTTGCCTTGACTTACTTTCTACAGATCGTCCATGACCTGGATGAATGAGAACCTTCACAGAGTTATCTCCACTTAGATTGGCTCTTTACTTTGCTGAAGGATGGAGACTCCTCAGCCAGAAGGTGGTGATATACTTGGGAGCATGTTTTTGATGCATGGGGTCAAATCCAGCAAATCCTTTCAATAAAACTTTACCTGAATTGGAATGAAAAACGTGATTTGAGTCCAATAAAACATAATATAATGAAAAGTACAACATGCATTATTGCTTTGAAGAATTGATGTGAATGTCTTGTAGTTATTAAAATGATCTTGGTTGAGCTTACAAGATAAAATCTTTGTAAACGCTTGCTTTTATTTTCTTTGCAGATGGATCAGAAACACAGCTGGAGTTTGAATATGATTCACAGACATTTGTGATTACTGTACGAAAACCAGGAGTGAATATTTCATCAGATTTCACAATGTCCCTGCGATAACATCACTAACACGCCAAGTCTTGAGGGGGAGGGGGGAGGCAAAGACACTTTCTCCCCAGGTGTAAGGGGGTTGGTGGGTGGACATCATTCTTGGACCAAATGTGAGACTAGAGACCAGAGGATGTGTGTGTGTGTGTGTGTGTGTGTGTGTGTGTGTGTGTGACTGATTATGCCTGTTTTTCTGGGTATTGCCAGCCTGCACTTATTATGTGTACATAGATTAATCATGCACTGTACCTGTCCCTTGTATCTGTGTCACTTGGGACTACCTCTTAATGCAGTCTGTTGTTGGCCCCATTCAATCTTGCCTGTCCACCATACCCACCCCCATCTGACTCCATTTCTCTCAATAACGTATGTGAGAAATGGATTACCAAACTTCCAAGAGGTCTAAAAAACCTACATATGACAAACTCAGGGCTGTAGCCATTATGTGCGAGTAATTTTAAGTTGAAAAATGGATTCAGTAGAAGATGGCTTAAATCTGGACAGCAACTCCAAAAGCACTTACCCTCTTTCCTTAACTTGTATCTGACAAGACACAGCTCAATAATGTGATCCCTCAATCTAGGAGGCTTCTGTCTGCATCCCTCCCCCTCAGCCTGGTAATTAGTGTAAGATTGGGGGAAAGTTAATATGTCACGTGGTAAAGATTTTCTATGAAACTTCTTTTTGGGGGTAATGGAGCCATAGCTCATTTAATTGGAAATGTTTTGATAAAATAAGAAATAAAACTATAAAATGATTTGTGTATGATTTTATATTTGTTGCATACATATTGTCCAAGAACAATTCATTTATGTTAATGGAAGACAAATTCCAGAATCTGGAGCAGTTACTCATGGTAACCACTTTTCTCTTCAGTTTGTTCAGTTAGGCTTTAAAAGCCAGACGCTGATTGTTTGCCATGGGCAACTGCTCCAGATTTTGTCTGCTCCAGTTTTGAAAAGTTCTCCCGATTTTTGTGTTTTTTGTTTCACTTTGAAGGCTTGCCCTAAAACACAGTGAAGGTCAGAGTGTAGATTGCCTTCAAGTCTTCAAACTGATTCCCATAGATGAATCAAATTGTTTATCTTTACATAAAGCATTTGAGTAATACACACGTCGCAAAAATAAAAAAAACGTTTTAAAGGGAACTTGTGTTTTGCCCATGCAAAAGAAACCAATTAACTTGATGTGTGTGTATAGCGTAAAGTTTTTGTTTTAGATGGTGGAAGAATTTCAGCCAAAGTCAAATTTGAATTGCTACTAAAAAAGAGCTTTGGCTTTACATACATTACTTTTTTTTACCTTTTTCAGCAGCACATACTCTCCTTCCCTTCACTAACGCTTAGGCATCCAGTGCTGTTGAAAGTAGGGCAAGGGAAGGGGGTCCTCTGCCATTTTCACTTCACTTCAAAATGGCACCTCTTGTCTTAGAGGAACTTTACCCACCAATTGAATGTCTCCCAAAACCATTACTTTTAAGGCATGCCAACTCTCAAGGTTGCCAGTGTGCTTATTTCAGCTCTCAACTGAACTTGCAAGCCCTCAAATAGCTGGTATCATAGCTGATCACATCTGCAGCACCATAGCAACTGCAATCCAAATAGAGGCAAAGATGGCACTTTTGCTGTAGGAAGGTGTAGTTCTGCTTTCTACTGTTGATCCTGTATTTTACCAATTATTACTTTATTTCCATTAAAAATGGGGATCGGTAAGCAGGGCCAGAAATTGCTATGTTCCCATTACTGGGCATTAGAGCTGAACTAGGCAGATACAAATGTAGCTCTATAATAATTGCTACATCATTAAATGTATTTTTTAAATTCAAACAGTGCAAGTACCTGACTTTGATCTGGTATCGGCTTCTTGCAGCCTCTGTATCACAGTACTCGAGCGTAAGAGGAAAAAGCAGAAGGAGCCAAACAGTTAATGTGCTGGTAGGAAGCATCCTGGTAGGAAAATAAAGCAGATATATGAGCTAATTACTGTGCCGCTTCTCCTTTTACTGTCCAGTCACATCCTGGATGACCAGTGCTCAAAGGAAGGTTGAATATTGCTGGTCTTCATGCTGTGGACATCTAGTGGCAGAAGAAAGTACTGCAGAGGAAATATTGCAGCAAAACTGTATCTTGTTTTTGGCTGGTGTTCTGCTTTACAGTAACATAAGTAACATTTTTGAGCATCCAAACAGCTTCTAACAGAAAAAGATAAAGCTCAAAATAAACTCTAGCCTAGTACTTCACTTTTTGGTGCACAATTGGGCACATAGATCAGCACAATTGGGCACATAGATCAGTGTTGCTGCTGGATGATAACATAGCAACTATCAACAGGCCCATTGATTGATTGTGACCATGTGACACCCTTCCCCTTCTAGTGCCATTCTAGTTTACACAGAGACCGGACCAGGAGCAATTGTAGAGTATTTGTGAACCTTCTTCTTTAGCAAAAAAGCAAATATGGCGCGATGGAACGCTTCTTAGGAGATGCATACACTACTATGGTACTAATTCCCCATCCAAGAAAGGGATTTCCTTTTTTTATAATCTACTTGGTGAACCAAAAACTACTGATTGCCATCCATGAGGTGGTGGGAAACGGAAACTTTTCTCTCTCTCCAGAACAATGGTACAAAGCAGTCACTTGGCCTCTGAAAACTTCGCAATGTCTAAGCCACTGGGAATCCCAACAGAAACTATTGCATAAATGGTACTACACGCCACAGAAACTGGCAAAAATCTACCCCTCCTCCTCACCACTCTGCTGGCGGAGCTGTGGAATTGTGGGATCATTGACACACATCTGGTGGTATTGCCCATCCCTTGGCCCCTTTTGGCCTGAGGTTTTTCAGCTTATCTCCACAATTACTCAGCTCCCCTGTGGCGTTTCCCCACAACTTGCCTTGTTAGGGGTAGGGTTGGAAGAGTGGCCACCAGTTTCCAGGACTGTGGTGTCTCATATCCTCATAGCGGCCCGTCTCGCATTAGCGAGAGCGTGGAAACAATCACAACCCCCCCTCCTTAAACATAGTCATACAGATTCTAAACACGCATGCACATTTTGAATTTCTGTTCGGCAAGGCTAACTGTAGATGCCATACTTTCACCTCGCGTTGGGCCTGCTGGTTGACAGACACATCATATGATGATTACCAGACCCGCATTCCCTCATTGGTAGAGACGCTCTCCACAAGCTCTAATTTTTACTTATTAAATAAAAAAAGGAAAACGCAAAAACATTGTTCATCCTCTCTGTATCACTGAGACTTTTAGACACCTCTCCCTCTGTAAGACTTTGTTTATCTTTTCCGTTTCTTGGCATTCCAACCGATCGGTGTTGTAATATTTCCATGCACTGCTCATACCAACTCTGTACTTCATCTGCTGTACATGATACCTGTTGTATTGTTGTCCTATTTGTGCCCTGCCTTGTGCATCTTAATTGTATACACCTATGAGTTTGGGCATTGCCCTTCCTGTACTGTTGTATTGTTTTTGTCTTTGTTGCTATGATAAAAACTCAAATTCTTTGTTAAAAAATAAAGCAAATATTATGTCTGA